GCTTCATCTTCAGTCTCTGGCCTTCCAGGGAACAGTCAGGGTTGATTTCTTTTAGGATTGACTGATTTGATCTCCTTGCAGTCCAAGGGACTCTCAAGAGTCTTCTCCAGCACCATAGTTCAAAAGAATCTATTCTTCGGTGCTCGGCCTTCCTTATAGTCCAAGTTATAGACAAGATAGGAGGAGGTTAATATTGGCTAGGATTCAGGAATGCTGATGTCCTGGAAGGGACAGACTAGCTTTATTTTGGAAGGGATAGAGCTAGTTTTTGCAGAGCAAGTTACAAGTTGAGGGGTGTTTACAGGCCCAGATTTCCTCTTTGAAAAGCAGGTTGGTATATATATATATCTTCCTGTCACCTGCACTGTATCAGCTCACTTTCTTGTTTCTAAGACTCAGCTAGACCTAACCATGCTTTAGTAACCTCACTGCTGGACTACTGCAACATGCTGTATGTGGGGCTATCCTAGAAGACAGCCCTCAAATGACAACTGGTTTAAAATGCGGGAGTTCAGTTACTGTCTGGGGCTGATTGACAGGAATGCATCTTGTCAATTTTAGAACAACTACATTGGCTGCCAGTTTGTTTCTGAGTTCAGTTCAAGGTGCTGATTTATGACATTGAAAGCCTTTCACAACTGGGGAGCCACATATCCGAATGTGCTGGTTACCACCTTTAAAATCCTGCACAACTGGGGACCCACATATCCAAAGGTGCTGGTTACAACCTTTAACGTTCTTCACAGCTGGGGACCCACATATCTGAAGGTGCTGGTTACAACCATTAAAATCTTCCACAACTAGGGACCCACATATGTGAAGGACTGTCTCCCCCTTTTGTCCGCCTCCACCAATTGTGCTCTTCTGGTCCTTAGTACCTGGAAATCTTCTTACCCAAGATTTCCTATCATCCAACACAGCCTGGCACGTCGACACTCTAGCATTTTGGCTGAAACTCTATGGTTACCATGGAGTTTTGGGCAAAATGGTAGAGTGCTGACACAGCGACGTGCCCAACATGATGTCACTTCTGGTGATGTTATCATGGTGTGTGCAATGAAGACTCCAGGACAGATCTGGGAACCCTCTGCTAAAAGTGGGGTAAGTCTTGCTGGGCAAAAGTCCCTCCCAGCCCCGCTCACTACCTAAAAACACTTGGCAGGTGTCCAGAAAGGCATTGGGGGTTGCCACGGCTCCCATGGGCACCACATTAGGGACCTCTGATACAAATTGTATACTTCCAAGGAAAGGTAGGATTGAAATGCTTCAATAAATAATGCTGAGTCGGCCTAGCACAGTTTTGAAAAAAGGCGCTCTCCAGCTTCATTGAGTCACAAGCAACTTTAAAAGCAAATCATTGTACTTCTGAAGTAAACAATTTATATTTCCAGAGCATTTATGTCCCTCCCTTCTTTTGAGGAGCTCAGAGCATCCTAAAGGTTTCTCCTTTCCTGGTTTTGTCCTCACACAACAACCCAACGAGGCGGGTCAGGCTGAGAGGAAATGACTGGCCTGATGTCACCCAGCGGTCTTTCCTGGCAAGGGTGGGGGCTTGAACCCAGGGCTCCTAGACCCCAGTTCAGCACTGCCACCAATACACACCACACTAGCTCTGTTTCTTGTTTCCAGAATTAGATAATTGATCGTGGACTGCAGGGGGGGGGGGAATGACTTCTGCAGATGCAGTTCTAGCAAAAGAGAAACAACAGCCGTATGGAAAACAGTCTTAATATATGCAGTCAAAACAGAAATAATCACGGAATGCATCAGAAGAGGTTACTCCGTTGCACATCCAGATGGTTTTGCAACCCGAAGTGAGGGGAACTGGTCAACATGCAGGAGTGAGGAGGCGTTGTTAGGGTTTCCTACAGGTTAAATCAGATTAAGTATACACCTCAATGTTTTTCAGGGATATGATCTTGTATTGGTTAAGTTTTCAGCGTATGAACAATGTAGGGAGCCACTGACTTTTTTTTTTTAATGGGATTTGGAATCGTGGACCTCTGATGACCAAATTATGGAGTGACCAGTTTTTGTACCATTTTCTTTTCAGTTATGAATGAGTGAAGGGTAGCAACTCTGCTTTGCTGCAGTAGGGACAGAGCTGATAGAAAGCTGCCAGGGGGCATTCAGTCTGGCATGCTGCCCTTACTAAGCCTCCCTGGGAGCCCCCATAGGGCTTCTTTCCTGCCGTCCTGTAAACCCTCCCTGCCCATTCATCACTGAAAAGAAAACGACGTATACCGTGGAGAACTGTAAATATCGCATGAGAAGGCTCAAAGTGAGGGTCCCTTTCTGCTCCTCTTTGCCAGCCCGAACTGCTTGCGATCTAAACGTCGGGGAAGGCGGCTTCCCGTCCTCCGATTTTTCCACTTGATAAGTAGTTTTGTGGCAACCCAGATCCTTGCGTCGTTACTGCCTGAACCTGCCCTGGACTGAAATTGCTACCTAGTGTAATCAAGGGCTACGATAATTCATTAGGAATCAGCAACCTGTTTCCCAGCTCTATCTAACAATTAAAATTAGGGTACAGCAGACACTCCAACTGGCCTTGTTTACTGGGAACAATCCTGATTTTCTGGTTCCTGCCCCTGATAAATCCCAACCCCTCTTTCCGTCCTGCAAGAGGTACTGAACCCACAAAGGAGCGCTCCTCTGTGTGCCTGGACTCTCCACACACACACACACACCAAGTCGAGAAACCTGTTCCAAAAGACAGCCCCGAGTGTGATAGAGCCCCAGTCAGATTCTCTGCAGCAAATCAGATCGGTTTGAGGAGTGGAAGTGGAAAGCTGGATCTTTTAGAGATGCTTCCACCCACTTCCTTGACTTTTCCGCTTCCATGTTTTTTTTAAAAATGCTTCCACCCACTTCCTTGACTTTTCCCCTTCCATGTGTGTGTTTTTTTAAAGTTTCTCTTCTAAGGTAAGAGATTTTAAGGAAAGGAGGCACACATTAAACTGACAGCTACAGATACAAAGCCAGGGTTGGGAAGCCCTGGGTTCAAATTACTCCTTCAGCCAGGACCCTGGTTAGGTAAACTCAGGCCAGTGATTTTTCTCTTAAACTAGCCTCTCACAAGGCGGTTGTGAAGGAACAGGGCTGTTGTGTCAGCTATGCTGCCATGGGGGTGGGGAGGTTAGTTGTATTCGAATTGCCAGTGCATTCCTTCTGTGCTGCTTTGCTGCTGTAACACTTATCTGTAAGTTCTGCAGGTGGTGATGTTGATGTCTGGGTTTCTCGGGAGCCGTGGGAGAGAGTTTGGTTCCCAGCTTCAGCGCTAAACGGCCGGAGCTCTTTCTCCCGCACACGGGAATGTGCCTAATTGGCCAGGGCAGTGGGGGGTGCATACGAATACCCTATATCCTATTATGCCCCAGGGGCAGCCGCCATTCTTAACAGTGCCTATGTTAGTGCATCTATAGCCCTTCAATAAAGTATTACCTTTCCTGATAAGCGTGTACTACGTTGTTGGCTGTGGGTTCTGACATTCTGTTAAGAACTGGGGAGAAAGGTGGAGGTTCAGGGGAGGGCCAGGCGCACAGATGGTTAGGAAAAGTGCACTCCCACCAGGCATAAGGGAACAAGTGGGCACTGCACCACCTGATCTGGGCCCGGACCTTTGGTAATCTCTGGTTTCCAGTCTGCAGAAGTGCCCTCTATGGGACAGCAGCAAAGGGTGGCAGCTGCCAAGTTGACGGAATCCATGCAGACAGAGAAAGGGCAGGAAGACTCGGGGGAAACTTCCGATGATGCCAGTGGCCTTTGATGAATTCCTGTACACCACAGCAGCATCTAGACTGAAGCGAGTCCAGATTTCTGTACTTATTGTTCAGTACCATTTAAGTGTCTATATACTCTGTTCCCCCCGACTGGGTGGCCCAGGCGAGCCTGATCTCATCAGATCTCAGAAGCTAAGCAGGGTCGGCCCTGGTTAGTATTTGGATGGGAGACCACCGAGGAAGTCCAGGGTCGCTATGCAGAGGCAGGCAAGGACAAACCACCTCTGAACGTCTCTTGCCTTGAAAACCCTAGGGGGTGGCCATAAGACAACTGTGACTTGACAGCAAAAAAGAGAGAGAGAGAAAGAGAAAGAAAACAAAATGTATCTTGTTTGCAGAAAAATGGCTTGTGGAATCCATTCTGTTGGTGGTGGCGCTTTCCCCTTGGTGCAAAGATCTGTGGGATCCAACCCTTTCATTTTCCTTGTGATGATCCATTCCTGTCAATTTATGCTGTATTTTTAAAAATGAATAAACAACCGCTGCCACCCATGAAAATGAAAGAGGGGGAAAGTTCAGATCCTTCTCCTGTTTCCTCTTATGCCTGGAACACCCTCTCCAAAAGTGTATTGGGAGCATCATTTCCTTCCTATCCCTTCTCAAAACTCAGCCTTGAGTGTAAATTCTCAACCTGTCATCCCTCAAGCTACAGCTAAGCTTAAGAAAAGGTATCTGCATTTGCTCCCGTTCATTCCCTCCCTCCCTCATCCCGTTCTCCTCTTCCCTCCCTCTATGAATATTTGGACATTCTAGGTGTTCTTTTTCTATCCGCCTTTTCCACAGTGTAGTCCATCAGGCCGAAAAAGTATATTTCCAATACAGATCTGAACGACAACGTACACATCTCTTTGTAGCGAACTAAGAAATAAAAAGATGGCTTAAAAAAACAAAGAAATCCGTCAGGACGGGTAGCTCTGTTAGTCTGTCTGTAGAAAAGAGTCCAGTAGCACCTTAAAGATTAACAAAAACGTGTGGCGGGACATCATTCGTGCACATGATAACACTTAGATGGTATCTGAAAAAGAAATCCAGTTGCGCCTTTAAGAATCTATTTCAGCAATCCAAGTTTGAGACTGGAATCTCCTTGTGGGCAGGGGACTCTCTGTCCACTGGCCAAGCACGGCTGAATATCAACCGCTTGGATAATTCCTGTAGAAGGAAATTGTCAAATCCTGAAAGAAAGAAAAACACGAATATTCCCAGGAGAAGAGGCCGTACCTGAAATGATACACAGCAGCAGTAGGAAGCGAGAAGCCCTTGTGTGGGTCATGACCGTCAGGTGGATCTCGGTGGAGAGATGGGGAGAGATTGCAGCCAGATCCCACGCAGGCTGCCTGCCGTCTGCCAGAGGCACTGAGCTCGTCTGGAGAGGCTCTGCTGTTTTGATCGCTCAAGCACGCTCGGTCTCTCCCGGCAAGGATTCCTTTGGGTTGACTGAGGGAGGTGACTGAGCACCTCAGAGCTGCAGAACGAGCCAGTCACCCATCCCAGTTTCCTTCGAACTCGGTGCACGCCGGCCAATTAGGTAATACTTTCATCTCGGCTCTTGCCCCGGAGGATGCAGGAGAGCCGATTCCCGTGCCAGGAAACAGAGAGCGGCTGAGGGCATGGCCTGAGGGCTCTGGGTAAGCCAGGAGGGATATTTCACGCAGCCTTTTTGAGTCTGAGCATCAAACCCTCCCATAGACCGCCGACTGCTTGAAACTAGGGATTCTTTGATTTGATGTACAAAGCCTTGCAGACGGCTTAAAACACAGAGATTCTTTGGTTTGGCATACAAACCTGGCCTTATATCAAACCAGAGCATCAGTCAAAACACTGTCTATTTCTCACCGTTGGCAACTCTGCAGGGTATCATCCAGGCGCCCCCCCCCCCCCCCCCACAATCACACAACTTTGTGACCTGTGATCATTTAACAGTGGGAACGAAAAATGCCAACTGGCCAGGAGAAAAATATCATGTCGCTTCGACAGAGATTTAATGGTGCAGAGGCCCATCAGTGGCTATTAGCCACAAGATATAAATAGGGATGCTCGGCCTGGGGTAATTGATGCTCTGTCTTCTTGGTGCTTGAGGGGGCAACAGTGGGAGGGGCTTCTAGAGTCCTGGCCCCACTGCTGGACCTCCTGATGGCAGCTGGTATTTTTGGCCACTGTGTGACACAGAATGTTGGACTGGATGGGCCATTGGCCTGATCCAACATTGGCTTCTCTTGTGGTTAGAGTGTCATACTAGGAAAACCAGTTCTGAATCCCCACTCTGCCATGGAAGCTTGCTAGGTGACCTTGGGCCACTCATATGCTCTCAGCCTGACCTACCTCATAGAGTTGTCGTGAGGATAAAAGAGAGGAGAGAGGAATTATGTCAGCCACAATTATGTCAGCATGGACGGCTTCAAAAGGGAATTAGATAAGCATATGGAGCAGAGGTCCATCAGTGGCTATTAGCCACAAGGTATAGATAGGGACTCTGGGGCAAGTGATGCTCTGTCATCTTGGTGCTTGGGGGGGGTCAACAGTGGGAGGGCTCCTAGTGCCCTGGCCCCACTGGTGGACCTCCTGATGGCACCTGGTATTTCTGGCCACTGTGTGATACAGAGTGTTGGGCTGGATGGGCCGCTGGCCTGATCCAACATTGGCATCTCTTATATATTCTTATGTTCACATTGGATCTCCATTGGGGAGAAAGGTGGAGTATAAAAAGTAAATGTTTGGTGTAGTGGTTAAGTGCGTGGACCAGGGGTCATTTGGGGGGGGGATGCGGGGGGACGCCATCCCCCCGGGTGAGGTGCGGGAGGGCGGGGCCTGGAGCTCCCTGCTGGTGCCCGCTGGAGGTCGCCGCCGGCTGTGGGGAGGACACACTTCCGGTGATGTCAGGGGGTGTGGCATATGCTAATGAGTTATGCTAATGAGTCCCCCTAGCTCTTTTTCTACGAAATGACCCCTG